TTATATAAAATCACAGAAATACTACTATGATCTCTGTGTTATTTGAGACAAGGTCTTGCTAAGTTACCTAGGCTAGCTCTGAACTCATGATCCTCCTGCCTCGGCCTCCTAAATAGCTGAGGTGACAGGTAGATACATACTGGTGTGACCAATTATAATCCTCATTTTGAAGATGAGGTGTAAACCAGGTGGGATGGTGCATGTCTGTCATCCCAGCACTCTGGGAAGCTGAGGCAGGAAGATTGAAAATTCGAGTACCACCTGGGCAACTTAGCAATTTAGCAAGACCTTGTCTCAAAATTTAAAAAAATTTAAAAAAAAAAGGCTGGGGATGTAGCTCCGTGGAAAGCTCTGGGTTCAATCCCCAGTACCAAAAAAAAAAAGAGACGGGGTTGGGGAGAGAGATATGAAGGAACTGGCGCCACCTAATGACTAAAAGCAGCATTGCCAGAGTCCTGGAATTTGAAGTGGGAGAAAGGAAGCAGGTGTACTTACTGATGTCAGCCAGGCCAAGGTTAAAGGACCCTGGATTCATTACTTGGGGCCCAATATTGAATTAGGTCCTAGGGTCACAGCAGAACACACTCCCAAGGGGCAGGCAGTGTGACCAAGCATCCCAGCTTCTGGGACTGACCCCTCTGTCCTTCCTCACTCTGTGTGCGGATGTCACTGTGGGTGGAATCCCTGGGCCCCAGCAGGGCAGGTGATCACAGGGTGCAGGGGCTCTTCGGGTCCCTGGGACCCCCTGATCTAGGGACTCTCAACTGGGGGGTACTGTCCCAGGGGGACACTGGGTGATGTCTGGGGACCTTTGTGGTTGTCACAACTGTCGTGGAGCAGTTAGAGGCCAGGGACATTGCTCAGAACCCTGCAGTTCCCAGGATGCCCCAGAAGATGATTCTCTGGTCCCAGTGTCCACTGTGTTCAGGGGGAGCTGTTAGCTCAATTGTTTGGAAAAAGTAATGAACTTGGAGCCAGGCATAGTGGCATAGGCCTGTCATCCAGCACTCAGGAGGCTGAGGCAGGAGGCTCATCGCCGGTTTGAGGCCCCCTGGGCTAGACAGTGAATTCAAGGCCAGCCTAGACTCCATAGGGGTCTCAAACAAACAAAGAGATTATGGGCTGAAGTGTAGCTCAGTGATAGAATTTGTGCTGACCGTACTAAAAATCCTGGGTTTCATCTCAACCCTACCAAAAAAAAAAGCTTCTTTGTTTGTTTTGAAGGAAGCTTCCCAGAATGTTGTAAATGGGAGACAGCACATAGTCCATGCCACTGCACTGAGCTTCCTGATTAGTTGTACAGCCAGGGCCAGGGATTTAGCTCAGTGGTTCTACTGCCTGCCTTGCAAGCGCAAGAACCTGAGTTCAATCCCTGGTACCAAAAAAAAAAAAAAGTTGTACGTCTAAGGGTCAGGGTTTTCCTCGCAAGCGCAAGGACCCGAGTTCAATCCCCAGTACCAAAAAAAAAAAAAAAAGTTGTACAGCCCATTTGGCACACACCTGTAATCCCAGTACTTGGGAGGCTGAGGCAGGAGGATCACTGTGAGTTTGAGGCCAAGAATTGTACGCACCTCTGTATGCAAATTGTCTGAGGCCGTTTCCTTTTTGCGATGGGAAACTATCCTGGGCTGAGGGCTTTATAACCAGAGGTTGATTGGCTCACAATTCTGGCAGCTGCGAGGTCCAAACACCAGGCTCCAAGATCCTGGCCAGGGCTTCTTGGCTGTGTCCCAACAGGGTGGAGAAGCAGGTGGGGAAACAGCTGCTTGCTGAATGAAGCAAGCACATGGGACTACTTTGCCTTCTAACAATCTGCTTCCTCTCTCTCTCTCCCTCCCTCC